CACGCCGACTGGCCGTTGCAGGTATTTTCCCCAGACAGCTTCCCACCTGCTGTGCCTCTGTGCTCCCTCTTGGTCCGTGTAGCTCTCTGCTTGCAAGTACTCTGTCCAGGTGATGTCTGTGCTGCTGTTACAGCGAGTGCTTTCTTGGAGACCTTGAAGTTGCATCAAAATGACTATATGGGCTGCAAGACTCTGCCAGGCTTGTTACCTGCACTGCATATAACAACACACCTGTCCAAAGGCTTACAAGAGGTTAGACCTGGATGCTGGTGGTAAGACACAGGCACAACTCGCGTATAGTGCCCCTCAGGCCTAGTGCAAGCCCCCGAGACTTCCAGTCCTTCTCTTCCCTGTGCATCAAAACATTTTTGTGTTCCTCAGGCATCTATAGATAACCAACATCAACACCTTTTCCAAATTATGCTAATCCTCAGACCTCCTGTCATTACCAGGTGTGTTCTTAAACCAGGGTTTCTCAACCTGTGGGCTGCAACCCAAAAGCGGGTTGCAAGAATATATGAAAGGGTCGCGGACAAACTAAACATTTCCTTTCAAGGAAAAAAACATGGGAAACGGTGGCTTTTCCCTTGGAGGCTGGCAGACTTCCTGGCTGCATGGAGTTACTTGGGACCTCCCATACCCCACACGCACCACCCTCTGCCCCACACATTGAGGGGCACTGGGTCAGGACTGGCCATCGATGTTTACAAATGGGTCCTGGTACAAAAAAAGATTGCGAACCACTGCTCTAAAAACTTTTAGGAACCACCCTTATCAATCAATTTAACAGTGGACTTTAACACTGCTGTCTGCCAAGTCGACTCTCATGGGCACCATGGTGCTGGGAGGCCAGCCTTCGGTAAGGCCTCTTTTGGTCAATGCTTTGGCTATAACTTCATGATTTGTATATGCATTGATTAGCACTTAGGCAGGAAAGGTTTTTTGGGTAGATGTGATATTTTATTAGACCAATTGAACAGTTGGAACAAAGTTCTTTGCAAGCTTTCGGGCACAGACACCCTTCTTCAGGCATTGGGGGACACTGCTGCTGTTACGAGTTCTCCTGAAAGCTTGCAAAGAACTTTTCCCCAACTATTTAGTTGGTGTAATAAAAGACATCACATCTCCCCAAAGAACCTGGCCTGCCTATGTCCTTACACGGCTACAACCAACACCCCTTGATCAGTACTTAACACTCCAGAGAGACTTATCCTGTGTAGAATCAGTAGCAAAGTCCCTTGTGCAATCTTTGGCGCTCAATTTTTGGCAACAATTGAGCTTGGCATATTAAATGACTTGTTTCAAAATGGATGAAACTTACTGAAAAAAAAGAGGTGCTGAAGAAGATAGCATCGCCTTTTTTCCTAGGGATGGCTCAGATTCTGAATTTGCTCAGTTTCCTCCAGAAACTCATTCGGGAGCAGATCCTCTCTGCTGAGGATACCATCACCAGCTCTCGCACGTTCCTCACCTGGTGTGTCCCCGAGAGGTTAACGGCCCGGGCAAATTAGTTCATAGCTCCACAGTCCATATTAATACACCTGAAACATGAACGCTTTGCAAATTAGGAGGTAGCCCGAGAATGGGTATCTGAAATCAGTTGGGAGTGGGGCAGGGACTAGAGCACAGTAACTCAGAGGGCCCAACTAAGATTGGGTCACCACTGCACTAGCTACTCTCTGCCCAACAGTTTATAACTTAAATTAATCAAATGCAGACAAGGAATTTCCCTGTAGCATAGAGGAGAAATATCCAGGTTTCAGACTGGATACAAGGAAAAACTTCACAGTTTGTGTGACCAGACTCTGGAATAGACTCCTACCCTGGAGATCTTCAAAAGGAGACTGGACGCACACCTTGCTGGGGTTATTTGACCCCAGCAGTCTTTCCTGCCCACAGCAAAGGGGGCTGGACCTAGCGATCGCACGAGGTCCTTTCCAGCCCTAAACTCCTGTAAATGTGGGAATCTTCCCAAGGGCAGCGGCAGAGTTGGGACCATGGGCAAGCCTTACTTTCGCAGGGTCTCCAGCTGCGTCAGTAGTTCAAATTCAGTAATAAACGTTTTTGCATGCCCAGCATACACAATTCACTGGATCACCATAAAAAAAAAACAACCCCAACACACACAATGTCACACACCAGATGAAGACAAAAGTGAAGAACAGTATGGCATTCACCTTGGGGACCTTCCCATCCCAGCCGTGTTGGGTTTACAGTCTGTACATTACCAGGTTTCCAGTTTGCTCCAGTTTTCTCTTGCACACTCCAGCTTCCCTTGCACATGCACCCTTCGGCTGGGGTCCCAGCATTTTCCTCTCTCAGGTAAGAGTGGGAGGAAGCACATTCTCCATCATTGTTGAAGCCTGGAGAGTCCCTTTGGTTCATGTTTTACACAGCCTCCATCTCCCAGTGCCCCAGGTCATGGTCACTCCCTGCGTCGGGGTGGCTGTGGTGGTGTCTTGTTGAGCTGGATGGTAAGCTCGTTAGACAGGCACATGGTGCTCATTAGCTTGGATCACGAGGTGCTGCAAGAGTAGCAAGCCTCCCTCATGCATGAACACGGCATTTCCACAATCCCCCAAAGTTGCACAAACCCAGCTGCCCCTCAACAGCATCACACAATGGAGACCTGTTATTCCAGCTGCGGTCCATGGCATTGATACAATCTCAGGTGAAACACAATTTGGATCGAATGGGACAGTACGATGTTTCCTTAACCTCAACCTGCTTTTGGAATATTCATCACTCTCGAGTTACTATGAAACCGAGGGACTGTAAAACCGCACTGGTTTTTAAGAGAATACTTGACTCAAAACTCACCCTGACCCACAATATGAAGCAACACACCAATTAAAAACCCTCATTAGTAAAGAACCCGCACTTTGCTTTAGGTTGATAGGGATCATATTTATTTCATAAATACAGATGCTAAGTACTCTTTCACAAATCACTAACAATACTTTCATGTGCCATTTACAGTGGAATATTTTACTTCTAGTTATTTAAAATATCTGGCTAGGCAACGATAAGCCAACAGTCTTCTGCTTGCTATGAAAATACAGCGGCTACAATCTTCCAAGACTAATATTCTGAAGAAAAAAAAAAATCTTTGCAATTCCTTGCAAAGGAGGGGGCGGAAAAAGGCAGTGAAACATTTTTTACTTGAAAACGCTTGCAGGACTTTAACAGCATTACAGCTGTGCAGAAATTGAAAGGCTTTTGGCAGTTTAAATGTACAATGATGGATCGTTCCCCCTTCTTTAAAATTTACTGCGGGTCTCCCTCCCATCAATTATTATTTTTTTAACCTGTGCTGTTTAATAGGAAGCCATGAGGACGCAGCAGCTTGCAAAATTCATTTACTAGTAACAGTCTGATTGGTCGCAATCCATCACCCCCGCTCCCCCACCATCCCACGTTGTTCTAGGTAGAATATTATACATACTGCAAGCAAACTTACTGGCAATTTAAGACTTGCAGCAGCCGGGGTTGGCACCTTGCAGCCCAAGAGGTGGGAGGCAGAGGAATGGCTCACTTCTGTAACGACCATGCGTCAGTACAAGAGCGCTAAAGAGCATAAGCAACACAAGGTAAGGAAAGAGAGGCTTCGTTTGGTTGGGTGGAACCTGGAATAATCTATTTGCGAACAACATAAAAAGAATTTGAAGTCATCACAGTATTCTCCGCGTCCCATTTCCTGTGCTGCCTCGTGCTCTCAGATGCCACGTTTGTCTAAGGCAGTGGTGCTCAATCTTTTGGCCCTGTGGACCAAATGAGTGGCCCACGACTCAGATGGAGCCCCACGCACCAGGATCAGGCCCTGGGGCTCAGTACCACCCTCCCCACCCCCCCCACCCCCAATCACTGAGATTGGTTCCCAGGAGCCTGCATCTCACCCCATGTGCTGAGATTGGTTCCAGGGGCCCAGTAGCACCCCTGCATGTTGGGATTGGGTGCTTGGGACCTGGATACACCCTGACATCGAGATTGGTCCCTGGAGGCCTGGCGCTGCCCTCACACGGCAGAATTGGTCCCTGGGAGGTTCAGCGCTACCCCCACACATCAGGATTGGTTCCTGGGGGTCCAGCGCTGCCCCATGTGTCAGGATTGGGTCCCGGAGGCCCAGCGCTAGCCCATCCCAGCCCTCCACGCCAGGATTGGGCCTTGGAGGATGACTTAAAAACTGTTCAGTAAGCTTCCTCCCTGCAGAGTAGCGGAGCTATAACAGCTGTTACCCCAATGGAAATATGGGCATTCATGCAGAACAGAGAACCGTCTTTCCTTCTCTATAAGAAAGTGTTTCATTTCTAGCTGCAGATGCCCAGCTCCACAAGGCACTTGTACAGCTGCAAATACACACACGAGTCTGGGATGCTTTTGTGCTTAAAACTGGACCTGCGTGTAGGCATGTTTCTAAACTGAGGGCTTGGTTTCTTTCTCCGGCATGTCCTGTTGCAGTATCATAAAAATAGATGAGAAGCTGGATCCAATCATTCAGTTATAAACAACTTCAAATGCTGACAGATGAAAACATCAATAGAATTTCATTATAGCTATTAGGATGTTATATGAAAATGGACCTAACTAGACAGTCAAATGGTGCATACTGCATCTCTCATACCCATAGATGCATTTTTAGATTATATTGGTGATTCTTACCCAGCGATAAGCAAGATAGCATATCGCCTCACCTCCTTTAAGTAGATAAACAGGCTCAGACCTGTCCCTGCCTTAATGACCCCCCACCTCCAGTACCTTTTAAGCACTGCAATCTGTAAATCAGTTGTTGAAATTAGGTGCCGCTCAAATCACAAAAGTTATGGAGGGAGGGAGTCTCAAGTTTCAGGAGATGTGCCTTGGATCCGAAAAGGTTGAGAACCACAGGATTATACATACCTAAATGTAACATTTAGGCTAATCTTATGGTGAAGTTAGAAAGGTATGGACTAGGTTACTGATCCAAAAGAAACCTCTGAGTGGGAAAGAAGAGTCAGGCATGATGAAGTAAATTAAATTTTTATTCTGCTATATATATTTATATTTGCGAGCTCACAACCGAGCCCGAATTCTTAGGTATACAATATAGAAAGCAAGAGCAATGAAATCTGAACCCAAACAAATACCAGGAATCACAAGCCGACGGCAAATTCTGTTTTCCCGTTAGTGCAGTTGAAATACGTGCCAGTGGTAAACTACCTATCTACAATCAAACTGCGTCTCTGGTAAGCTGTTGAAAACCGCTCCATTCAAAGTAGAGGTGGTACAATTAGAAGAGGTTAGGTATTTTAGATGAGTGATATGAAGTGCCCCCTTTCTACAAAAGGTGGAGTTAATAAATTAACCTAACTCCAATGTGTTGACTGCATTTTGAGTCTGGATTACTTAAGAACAGGTCCATGAAACGCATCACAGCACATTGTCTGAAACTACATGTCATAAAACACACGACAGGTGGCACCTACTGACATAGTGCATTTGTTCCCCTTTGGCCTCTGGCCTAGGCACAGTATTTTAATCCCAGATTGGGAGATGGTTCATTCGAACTGGTTAAAGATGACATTTTAAGAACAGTTAAGTGTTACTTTGCCCTTGAGGTCTGTCTAAAGACTGCACCCATTGGTAGCAAGCAGTGCGTGTGAAAGGAGCGGGGAGGGAAGGGAAGTTAAGTGGTGTGGTTATCATTTGTGGGGAAAGACACTGTGGTTAGTGTGCAGATGCGCGTTCTCTGGTACACCGGGTTTTGAAGAACTAGAAACCCATCAGTGCCTTCTCAGAACTTCAAAAGACTGCGAAGCACAGCTGAATAAGACAAGCTGCTCCCGAGTAGCAAATTCATGGTATTTCTGTAACACTGACTACATTGCTCAAGAAAAATTGTATATGGGAGAAGGTAAAAAATAATGTCTGCTGGTCTTCCCATAAATGTATTTTTAAATTAAAGTTCTTTCCTCTCAAAAAGATAGAAAATAAAATATAACTCTAAATAATAATTAAAGCAGACGCATATTCATACAAGGGCCGGAGCGGCACTAGATGCTCTCTCAAGGAAAGTATTCAGAATGGACGCTGGTACCTGAAAAAACAGATTATAAATACCAGACAAAGGAAGGACTGGAAGCAGAGTCAAAAATTTACCTGCACTGTGAATACACCATGATCCTGGGCTATTCACTCTTGGTTATAAAGTCCATCTCCTAACGCAATAGGAACAGCTTTAATCATTTTTGCCATAACAAATACAAACGATAAGTGCAATTTCATCATCTTCATTCCAGATCACTGATTTCACCTTGCTAACGTCTGCTACGCCACGTTCGTCAAGCTTGCTTATTTGTCCGAGCTTTTGCGTGGCCTGCGAAAGCTGGACATGTTTTCATTCAGTGCATAGATCCTTCGGGAGAACTCTTCAAACTCCCCCAAAACTTGTTCATCACATTCCACGGCCACGGCGCAGTCCACCGGGATGCAGTTAAAGGCTTCTAGCTGATCTCCTGTGCTGAACCCCGTGGCTTCCATCCCAATGATTTCCTCAGCTTGCTCCACCGTGCAGCAAAGCTCAGTGCCAAGGGGGTGACGCAGCTCACATGGCTGCCCGCCGCTTGCAATGCCAGAGCAGTCACTAGGTAGAAATGTCCCGTTTATTGCACTCGGATGTCCCACAAAAGACTCCTGCTGGTCCTGGACATTGTTCAGACCCCCGTTTTCTCCATTTAAACTGTCACACAAACCTTCGGGTTTTTTGTTGGTTCCTTTCGACGAGTCGATGGAGGTATCTAAGGATGAGGAGAGCGATCCTGGTTTTTTATTTGACTCTCCTGCAATGGTGACGGGCTGTGCTAACGCAGAGTGGTAACTAGAAGGGGATGTTTTGTGCTGCAGTCTTTCACTCTCTGTGCTGGCCCGCTTCCGGTGTCCTTTCTCTGGGGAGGAGCCCATATCCAAACCCCCGAAGGTAGAACTATGTCTCTTTGGAACTGGAATTGCATTAGAAGTGTGATGCCGATCACTATAAAAAAAGATGAAATGAAAATAAATCAACGATTGATGAAACAGCATAACAAGTTCTTGTCTGAGTGGCAAAGGGTCAAGTCCATGACAAATAATTGCCACTAGTCTTGGACAACCTACATCACCTGAGGAATCCTAAAAAGCAAGGCTGGCGCTCAAGTCCAACAGCCAAAAGGTACTGGCTCATTTGTTTAAGGCTGTGTAAACTGTAGCCATTACCCCAAACAAAAACCCTTGGGAGAAAAACTGAGCTCAAGTGTAATGTATTTGGAGAACTGCCACTGCTAAACAGGCAAACTATTACATGACTATGAAGACATGCGCTAATTAGTGCACCTCTGGAGAGCCAGACTGTACTTCATGAATTACTATTTCTAAGGCCCCTGACAGACATTAAAGTAATGGCACTGCCACACATGCATGGTAGGCGACATGACTGTGGGGTCCTATATCAGATCCCATTGCACCATACTGCCAGCGTAGGGGGAGCCTGATCCCAGGCTTCCCTGCACCAGCGAGTAACGAGCTTGGCTCCTAGGCAGGGAATGCACCATACTCTCCCGCCGCTGGGGGCTTCCGGTAGATGACTGGGGCTTGAGGTCCACTCCCCTTGTTGGGAGCCCCGATCAGCTGCACGGCCTCCCAGACTCTGTAATGCATGGGAGTCTTGAAAGGCCACGCATTCAAATCAAAGGCGTGAAAAGAACCAGCCACAAAGTTATTACACATATTATGTGTAACCATGTTGTGGTTTATGCCCCGTTTTAACATGCCATTTATAGAACAAATGTGCGGCCAGGTCACTACTTAAAACAGGATTAACCAGTGAACCACATCTGAAGAGTAATGTCTGCCAGGGGCCTAAGAAAACCATTCATGACCACAACCCTTCCTCCTCACCTACCTCTATGGGATCATCATAAAATCCCTAGAGAAGAAACAAAAAAATGCTGGAGACATGGTGGCGAGATCCTTCAAGAGCAAGTTCTCATGGAGGCAGGGATGAGACTTATTTCATGTGGGCAGCATGTGACCTAAACCTTAAAGTTACAATTTGTATTAGATTATTTTCGCTAAATCCTTTCCTTCTCCACACCATTTGATGTGTGTTCTGTGGCTCCCTT